TATATATATATATATAGTATTTAAAGCGACACTCACCTTGCACAGGAAGGAAAAACAGCATAACACACACGAAAGACATGGAGAAATGCATCCTGGGTCCAAGATTGAGAGTGTTTCTGAGATCTGGTAATGGTAAATGTTAGCGTCTAGTTCTGAGCGCTAGCTGGTCCGACACCGCAGAGGTCGAAGAGAAGACTGAGCTCCCAGAGTATAAAGCTTTGGTATAAATGCAGCCGATAAGAGGGGACGCACACCCCTCATTGCTCATTCGAAAGGAAGAGAACACCAGGCGCCACACCTTGTGACTGGGTTGCTGAAGGACCCTCCCTGAAATTTTTTTTAAAAAAAGATATACTGGATTGAAAAACAGTATGATGTATTTGAATCACTGACAGACAAAAATGTGTTTGTTTTTTTTGACAGTTCAAGCCATTAACTTTATTGTCCAGCCATCAATTGAACCACACACAGCCAGCTATACAAAATAAGATTTTAGGGGACAAATAAAATAAAATAAACACACACACCAAGTCAAGCAGGTTGCATCAGTCCACCACTGATGAAAACAAGTTAAGTGGATCAGAAGATCACAGAGTGACACATTCCTGATGCACCGGTAATTCCCATGATAACCCTCTGACCTCAGTGTACTGAGAATGTAACACTGTCATTTTCAGGCTTTTACTGAAGCGGACACATGCTGTTCACTGGTATTTGACTTATTGTGACTCACTTGTATAGCTGCCTTTGTAAATTTGATTTACTGGAAGAAGTGATGCTGGAGGATCTGTCACAAATGAAGAGCGGGGCTACAGAAGGGATGCTTTTAAAACACAATACTGATTTAATGACTAGTAGCACCTGAAAATCTGGAACTGTAAGTAATAATTATAATAAGTGCTAACACTGGAGAGCACTAAACATGACCTCAGAGAACACGGATTGCCATATTGTCCTGTAGGGTTATTTTAAGAATGTTCCAGTCTTTATTTATTAGTCAACTGGCTGCTTCAGTGATGAGAACACAGAAACTTGAATCATTCATGTGATTCCCTGTAAATTATTTGCTCCATGTTAACATGACGTCAATATATGATGGTAGATGACTAACACATTAAAGTGTTTCCAATCACCTGTTTATGCGCACATTTTTAATGCGCTATTTGTGCATTAAATAAAATGAGTGGAAACATTATCAGAAATGTTTGGCTGGCACGTCGTTGCCTGGGTGAATGTCAACGGTTACTGGCTTGCGTAAAATACATGTTATTATGATGTATAGAATAGTACAGTTGAATGACATACATAAATGTCACATACTAAAATCTACAGCATAACCCATTGTGTTTTCCTATTTCATTAATTAATAACAATTCCATCTTAAACACCATGTTACTGGTTAAGATAACCATTATGTTTGATTGTAATGTGCATGTAGTAGTCGAATTGTAAATGACTTTTCTTTGTTTTGATAACAGGGCCATATATTGGCCATTGGCCGCCCTGCTCTCTAAATATCGGCATTGGCCATTGAAATATCCCATGATGTCATCCACTAACATGATGAGCATGAAGAATGAGACTAAAATATCCACTAAGATAAAAAAGATCTAATCTTTTCTTTGCAGATTGTCTGGGGTTCACATGTGGCATCAACTCAAACTGGTGTTGTAGCCAAATGGCCTGAAGGTACCTGACACACAGATGCATCCTCAACATTAGAGCGGACCAGTAGCCGTCAATAGACTCAAGCCGCATGATCTGACCCCAACGCTGAAAGCAATTTACAAAAAAGCAGCACATTTTAGCAATTTTGGTAAAAAATATAATTCTAGCCTTCATTTGTGCATAGTGCAAGTTATGCAGTTTCCTGTACTTTGCTGCTTTTTGCATTTTGTTGATTGCAAAAGTCAACTACGCTACTAAAAAAGGCAGTTCATCCCATAGTTCAGTTTTCCTGTTGTGAGTTTCTCAAGTGGGTGTAGGATCACTTTCACTTCCTAAAAACGTACGATTCTAAATCCCCTTCAACCACAAAACTGCTATATTCACACTTAGGATTACTTAGTATTTAGCCTAAGAGCTCAGTTTTCACATAATGCTTGTGTCTTACCCTTTAATATTTATATTTTGTTGTCATAACACCCTGGCTAAAAATAATTCTCTCGGGGATACAGTAATGATTTTGGTGTCTGTGTTCTCATTACTCAAGTGCTGACGATTAACCACGAACATGTGTTTTTTTGTTTGGTCACACTGATGATCGAAGGGACACAGCGGAGGAGTGGAGGGGGACGAAGAGGAGGAGGAGGAGG